GTGTGTGTGTGTGTGTGTGTGTGTGTGTGTAAATGTGGGCTAGTGTCTATAAATAGGAAACAGCTTTTAGAAAAAATAATTTCAATTTTAGGCTGAAAGATATTTCTAGGTTCCTGTGGGTAATCAATCATAGCTGCCTAAAAATGGAATCTTTCCACACATTTCCAGAAACTAGACAGATCAATAAGGAGAGCCGATTAAACCACATAGCCCAGTCTGGATGAGATACAGGTGAAATTCTGAATACATAAGAGGTGTTCAATGTTTGTTGAATTAATTAATTGACATAGGAATGAATGGCACAACTACATAGGAAATGAAGCTATTAAGGAATTTTTATTGCTGGATGACAGGTCCCCATTTCAAATAATTCTGACAAGCTGGTGTTATGCTCGAATTCGGGACCCCCAAAAGACCACCAGAGACCAAGATGGATGTAAGCAGCAAAGAGGTGTTTATTGCAAGCTAGCTCGAACCTCCATGCATGCACACACCCAACTGGTGATGCTGAGAGGCCCTGAGGCCAGGGTTTGCAGCAGTTTTATACACTCTTTGGGGAAGGCAGGGACTTCACATACATCATAGCATCTCTTAGAAAATCATCACACCCCACAGGAAAACCATAAAACAACTCTAAAACATGATTAGCATATTCACTGGCAGGAACAAGTTGGGTAAGGGTGATTGGTTACTACAAGAGGGAGATTCACTTAACTGATTGGTTTAAGCCAAGAGGGATGTTCATGCTGAACTACATGGTTTCCCAACACCATAAACTACTGGGGGGGTCATCTGGCATCCCAGGTATTTCCCTGTCTCATGTTAATTGGTGGCTGCTAGGGGGTTGCTATGGGTCCCCACCTAGCCTGACTGAGTCAGAGACACCTGGCTCAGCAGATCTCTCCTGTTATTTGTAGATAAACAACTCAGCAGGGTGGGAATGTGCCTAGGAGTGCTCTGTAGTCTTTCCAAGGACAAAGGTCATGTCCCTTCCTTGGACAGGCCTTGCTTTGAGGTAGAGGCTGGTTTTTCACTGGCCTCTCGGGCCAACATCAATATGACAAAATATAATTTCAGTCCAGACTAAGGACCTAAATTTAGGGTCAAATAATTCAATTTGCAACAAAAGAGGCAAGTTCTAACTAAGCCACACTATGGAATAATAGTTTTCAAATTTTTTATTCTCAGCATCCTTTGAATTCTTAATAATTATTGAGGATCCTGGAAAGATTTTGTTTAAAGAGATTTTATGTATTGATATTTATTGTTCTAGAAATTAAAACAGAACTTTGAAATTTTTACTTATCAATTCATTTAAAAATAAAAATAAACCAATCACATATTAATATATTTTATAAAACAAACACTTTCTAAAAGATTTAGGGATGAGAGTGGCCTTCCTTTCCATTTTTATGACCTTTCAGTTGCATTTTGTAAGGTTCTGCAGTCTGATGCAATACGGTGTCTCCTTGCCTCACTTGAAGTATGTGAAGAAAATCCAGCCTCACACAGATATGTGTTTGGCAAAAGAACATTCTTTTTGGGGGGAAGGAGTACCAGAGATCGAATGCAGGGGCACCTAACTACTGAGCCACAACCCCTTTTTATTTTTTAATTTTTAAAAATTGTTGATAGACCTTTATTTTATTTATTTATATGTGGTGCTAAGAATTGAACCCAGTGCCTCACACAAACCAGGTAAGTGCCCTACCACTGAGCCCCAGCCCCAGCCCCTTTACTTTTTATTTTGAGACAGGGTCTTGCTAAGTTGCTTAAGACCTCAGTAAGTTGCTAAGGCTGGCTTTGAACTTGTAGTCCTCCTGCCTCAGCCTCTTGAGACACTGGGATTACAGGCATGCACCACCACACCTGGCAGGAAATGGACATTCTTGATGTCAGACCAAAACTTGATAAGTGGTAGTTTCTTAAAAGTTTGAAACCATATTGTGAACTTTTTTTAAAAAAAAATCTACTTATTTGTGGATGAACACACAGTATCTTTATTCATTTTTTTGTGGTGCTGAGGATCAAATCCAGTGCCTCACACATGCAAGGCAAGCGCTTTACCACTGAGCCCCAGCCCCATATATTGTGAACTTTTTGTAGTCTGTTATATTAAAATCCATTGACCTGTGACAGAAAGATTAATTTTTTTGTCATTGGCAACAGGTTCTGTCAGTTGTTTTCCTTGAAGTGACAGCCTTCCCTCATTTTTGAGAAGATGTCTGCCAAATAAAGGAGTCTGAATAACCAGGTTGTCAATCTTTGTCTCAACAAAAGATGGTGAGTCAAGCAGGTATTTGGCTCAAATAATTGTGTTCAGTATTTTTTCTCCAGGCAACCATGGTATTTATGTGTGCAGCACCCGTATTTCCTGTCCACAGGATTCCTCCCTCACATCAATCCTACCAAGTCGTCCCCTGTCATTGTAAAAGAGTGCTTGTTTTGTCTGCTCTGGAGCTCAGATTAATCCCTAACCCCTAGAGAGAATAAATGGACAGAGGAACAGGTCCATTTCAGGAGGCTGGGAGGAAGTGTGCATTGCAGCTCTTGGTAACCTTTGCTTTGGGGGAAATCCTCTCTGCATCAAGATGAACTTCCTTGGGGAGGTCTGTGAGTGGCACCAGTGACTTCTCACTGAGCAGTGAGGGTCAGTGTTCCCTCCTCTAAAGCAGCTCCTAAGCACTGCTGATAAGAAGACTTAGCTAAGAAATCATGACCACTGCCTGACACCTCACTACTATAAATTGGAAAAACAAAACAAAACCCAACGAAGGTGAGATATGCGTTTCCTGGTAGAGTGGTTCTTCTGTTCAGCAAACCCTAGAGCTCACTGCCCCAGCAGCAGGCACACAGCTGGCTGCAATGGCCAAGGGGTTCACTGTCTGGTGGGGAAGGTATAAAGAGAGGATCACAGGCTCATCTCTTGGGGAAGGGCATGGCCTGCAAATCTTTGCATGATTGGGTCCTGTGCCCTGTCCCAACCTTATTCCCACTCTATCCTTGTTCTTTCTGCCCACCATTGTATCTTGGCCACACTGAATGACATGGGAGTACTTGAATAAGTGGTGCTATTTTGTGCCTTTACCCCTCTCCCTAGTTAGCAAGGACTGCCTGTGTCGCATTTCTGGTAGCAGATTTTCATCTATGGCAGAGCCCAGCTGGAAGAAGGGGAAGCCTGAACCTAATTCAATTCTAAAATTTTATCTTTATTTGAGATTGGACATTTCATTTCATGAATTGAGGCTGTTTTGTGACTTAAAAGTAATCATAGCTTTTGTTTAATCTAAGATTGGTCCAAAAATTTTGAGGCTAGTCCTAGTTTTCACCCAGAGTCAGGGAGAACTAAAACCTCCAGAAAAAAATATGAAGGAATAATAGGAGAAAAAAATAAATATTGTTATGATAAGATGCTAAGAGCCACATTTGTTTCCAGGTACCCATGCCTGTCCTTCCCTTGACTGTGATTCCTTCCTGTCTCGAAGAAAGACGATAAGGAGAGGAAGTCCTCAATTAAGATCGAGTGGCACAGGGGGTGGGAAAGAAACCTTGGGCAGGGCAGGCTCTGTCCAGGGAGCATAGGTTGGTGGCAGGACTCAAGTCTCAATGTTGCCCCAGGAATCGGCCTCCAAACCTGACAGGGTCTCTCAAAGGGGGACTGGGAGTCTTCAGTGGAGCTGCCCCTCACCATACAGAAACTTTCTAATGCAAATGAACCCCAGAAAGGCAATATAACTGCAAATAAGTATCAGCCAGGTGGAGATGACAGAAACCAGATCCTTTCCTGATGGCACTGTGCTCTTCCAGCAGACACCAGAGAGAGGAAAAGGGAGCCATTTAAAAGGAAAGGGTCATGACCAAACATAAGGGGGAAAGGAGGCCACCTGGCTGACTGCCTGTCTCACCGCCCACCGAATGTGCACGCAGAGTGCAGTGTAACAAGGTAATGCAGAAAATGAGGTTGACAGGTCAGGAAATGCACCCCAAATGCACTACTAAATGTCGGAGCTGGGACTTAAATTCAATGTGTCCAGCTCCAAAGTCCATTGTAGCAGGCCACAGTGCCAGCCTCTGGGTCAGCAAGCCCTCGTGTTCATTTTCTTCATCTTGTGTGCACCTAAGAACTGGGGTCCTGGGTGATTTGCATGCCTATGCACACCATCCCTGCAGGGCAACTGGGTGCGGAGACTTAGGGCAGTGCTCAGGTAGGCTGCTGTGGGGGCTGGAAGAAGGTCTCCAGGCCTCATCCAGTGCCCTGGCCACCTCAGCCCTGCTGTGTACATCCTGTCTTCCTACCTTGGGGCCTCCATCTGCCTTTCTCAGGCATGTGCCCCACATGGCAAGGCTCACCGTCTTCTCCGGCATCACAGGACTGCTGGAGGGCAGCCAACACACTATTAACCAACCAACCTGTCACATCTATATGTACACAACCTGACACATCTATATGTTACTCCCTCACAGGCCAGTCTCATGCTGGAGCTGGGGACCCCTTGTCTAACACCTGGGAGAGTCAAGAGTCACCACACCTAGATCAGGCATCAACCAGTGAACTGAAAACCAAGGAAAAACCCCCCAAGTCAGTCAAGGGCAAAGGATACCCTCCCTCTGGTGATCTCCACTCACATCTCTCCTATTGGTGAAGGGCTTATAATATGACCACCGGCTACTGTGATCATGATATTTTCTACAGCGTATCACAATAGGTCCCCCAGCTTCTGAGGCGTTGAACAACATGTGTGGAGATGGGGGTTTGGTGCCACTTTGGGCTTGGTCTGAAGGCCCTCAGCCTGTCCTCAGCTGCTGCAGCAAATCTAACATCAGAAACTGTTGTCCAGCAGCAGCACCAGTTCCTGGTTATCTCCTCTGAAGAACATTCCCTCCTGGGCAGCCCAAGTCTGACACCCATCTAAGTCCTCAGCACCTAGTAAGACAGCACACAGCAGCTGCATGACCCATGCTTTGATGCTTTGGGAATATCAATTGAGAAGAGACAAGAGTTTTCACAAATTGATACATTTACTTCATTATTTGTCAGTCAGTTGTGTACATATAGATGTCACTTTAAGTTACATAATTGCAAGAACATGAACACATGCTAGCTCATCCCCCTGGCTGAGTGCCTGGGGAAAATTCAAATCCTTTTGTGGTTTCTCTACATTTTCTGATAGCTTCACACACCCTGGCTACTTCCCCCTGGACCTACTCCCCTTCTCCCCTGCCCTCCCTTCCCTCCGTGATGTGGCAAGGCAAGGAAGGGCCAGTGAAGACAGACTGCAGGTTCAAGCGGCCTGCCGGCCTGGCGTCTGCCACAACTGCTTTGGTGTTCTTTCTGGTCTCAGGTAGTGTACACTTTGCCACTTTGAAGAAACTAAATTCCTTGAAGGCAAGGACCAGGGCCTCTTTGTCCCTGGGCATGGAGGGACAGGGGACATGAAGAGCAGTATCTTGGTAGACTGCTGAGCATGAGTCACCCATGGGGGCTCTGAGGCTCCAAGCTGGGACAGGACAAGCTCACGAACAAATCACTAAGACGTGACGCAGTGGGTGCTACAACAGAGATGTGCAGAGCACTATGGGAAGGAAAGGGGCAGCGCAGAACAGCTTCCTCAGAGGGACATTTATTGGCAGGTACCATATCCTACGTTAGGCACTTCAACTCCATCTTATTTAATCCTCCTCAAGGAGGAAACCAATCTTAAAGGTGAGTCACCAGAAAAGCTGCTGAGCTGGGCTTCAGATCCAGATCTGTCGGCTTCTCAAGCCCACTCGCTTTCCTCTGTGCAAGCGGCCAACTGTGGGGAGATCTGATGTGGGACTCAGGGAATGGTAGAGAGACCTCCAGAATAAATGAATCACTTTCAGAGCAAAGTAAAATAATAAAAAAACAAAAATGAAAAACACACAAAAGAAACAAAAAAACACCAAATTCTCCCCAAATTTCACATCGTGACTGGCTGGAAGAGCAAACATAAAGGATGCTGGAAACATGACCGTGGAGAGAAGAGCTGTCTGAGCGGATGTTAGCTTTTTCCTCCTGATTTCTTGTTCTCTCAGCCAACAGGTCCAAAGAATATTCCAAAACTGCTGCTGCTGACTGGCTCCAGGAGAAGAGAGACCTCTGGATTTGAAATTTCTCTAGGACAGCTTCACTTTGGGCTCTGGAGTCTCAGTTTTGTTTTTTATACTGTAAGATAGAGAGATCAGAAGTGGGTGAGGGAAGCCAGTGGAGAGAGAACTCGGGAAATCTCAAACCCTAGTCACCTAGGTCTCCCCGCCTCCAGCAGGGGCTCCTCAGCAGTGGTGACACCTAGGCAGGAGACACTGGACAGTCCAATCTCTAGTTCATGCCTGGACCCTCTCTTTCATTTAACAGAAAAAGAAGCTGTTGGTCTTGGCTGGGGGCAAGGGGAGGCTCATAATAAAGAAACTGATAACATTAGAAATGAACATGTGGTCACCCATACTTTGAATCTTGTTTGAGGAAGAAAATTCTCAGGATCTGAGAATTTCTCTGAGAGGAAGACTCTCAGAAATCATAGGATGATCCTCTGCCAATCACTGTTTACAAAAATGGACCCTAAACCCCATATTTGGAGATTCTGAGTTGGAAGGATAGGGAGCTAGGGGCAAACTCCTTCTCTAGGTTGTTTTAACACCAACTACATTCCTGTCTCACTCCCTTCCTCCACCCAACAGACCCCTGAATGATTCCTCAATAATCCTGCCACAGTTTGAGTACCCTGGAGCCCCCAAACAGCTGTCCTCTTGGAGCCACCACAGCGCTGCTGCCAGCTCTGGCACCACTGCTTCCAAGGCTGTTCTCTCCCTTCGCCTAAGTCTCCATTCCAGCTCGTTCAGCACTTTTGGCAGAAATCTGCCTTTAAGGATTAAGGGTGAACCCCTCACCCAACCTTGCAGAAAATAAATGCAACCAGAAGAGGAGTAGCTGGTGGGGATGGCCTGAGCACTGGCCCTCTCAGCTATGAGGCGGGGGCGCCTCCTAGTGGCCACAGTTATCACTGCCCCATTCTCAGGCTGAGGTGGGAACCAAGCACTTACTTTGTTCATGATCCAGTCAGCATCTTCAATGGCTCTTTTAATAATCTGCTGGATTCTCTCAGGGTTGTCTTCATCTGAATGAACTCGGAAACTCTGGAAATTTCAGCATAAAAAATAAAAAAAGATGACTAGACAAAATTCACAGAGCCAGCAGCTTCAGAGCACCAGTCCTTGGCCAGATAACACTGCTGGCAGGATACACCCAGCATCTCTTAATCCTCTATGGTTATGATTATTCCACTTAGAGCTGAGGAAACAGGGGCTCAGAAATCCAAACGTGCTGCTAAGCAACAGCATTTGAATCCTAGTCTATTTGATTGCAAAGAGGACAATCCTGGCATCAGGGCAGATGCTTAAAGGACTGACCCCCTGGGCCAGGGGTTATCAGGGAGGCTATCAGGGCTAAAGGGAAACTTCAATCTCTCTGTTGAATTTGCTCCTCACTGAAGCTGCTTTCCTCAGAGTGAGACCTTCTCCTCCCGCACATCAGGAAGAGGGCTTCTCTCTGGAACAGCCAAGCAGGGACAGAAGGCAGTGGAGGAGGTGGCTTTGAGGAATCCAGCCAGGCCCAAGACAGAGCACAGGCTGATGTGGGCTTCAGACCAGTCTGAGATTTGGGTTCACTGGGGTGATTCTCAGGGCCCTTTAGAAAGAACTGGTACTTCCCTTCCCTGTCACTCCCAACCCCACACATCCCCCTTCTCTCTTGAGGAACCACCTCAACTCCCTCCTCTGGGAAGCCCTCCTGACTCCCCCAGATGGCTAACCACTCCCTTCTCTGTGTTCCCACAGCCTTCTGTTGCTACTTCTATTTTTTTTTAACTTTTCATATTATACTTGTATGAATTCTAATTTTTAAATTTTTTATTTGGAAATGATTTATTACAGAAAGGTTGCAAAAAAAAAGTACGAAGAATTTCCTTCCACAATCACTAGTTGTTAACATTTTGCTATATTTGCTTTATTGTTCTCTCTTTGTATGTGTATTATAAGGTTTCCCTGGAAGTATTTAAAAGTATCTTACAGACATTGTGCTCACAAACCCTAAGCACTTCAATGTGCATTTCTTAACAAGGGCGTTCTCTTAAATAATCATAGTAATCAAATGCAGAAAATTTAACATTTACACTATTATCTAATGTACAACCCACATTCCAATTTCATGCACTGCTCCAATAATGTCCCTTACAGACATTTTTTTCTGGTCCAGAATCCAATCTGGGATTACGCATTACATTTAGTTCTCACATCTCTTTAGTCTCCTTTAATCCAGGGCAGCTCTGCTTTTTTTGTGTTTCATGAAATTGACATTTTTTTGGGGGGGTGGGAGTTTGCCAGGGATTGAATTCAGGGACACTCAACTACTGAGCCACATCCCCAGCCCTATTTTGTATTTTACCTAGAGACAGGGTCTCACTGGGTCATTTAGTGCCTTGCTTTTGCTGAGATTAACTTTGAACTTGCAATCCTCCTGCCTCAACCTCCAGAGCCACTGGGATGACAGATGTGTGCCACCATTGCCAGCTAAGTTGACATTTTTGATGAGTACAGGCCAGTAGGTTGTCTGGTAGATGGTGGTTTGGGTTTACCTGATATTTTCCTGTGATTAAATTCAGGTTGTGTGCCATTGGCAAAATGACGTGGCCTACAATCTATTTCAATTACCCACTGAACTGCCCTATTCATATGCTGGAGCAGAGGTGATATGCTATGAGCAGCCTTGGCCTCCTGGACAGACACCAGAGAGGAGCTGCGTTGCTCAGCATTGTTTCCAGTTTCTCTTACCCAACTCCAACCCTCACCTGAAAGACTATCCTTCCCCTGGCCTGATTCCCTGCCAGACCCCCACATTAAAGGACCCCCCCTGACCCAGGGTATCATGGCTCCCACCTGCCTGACAGCATGTTTGTAATGCTCTTGGATGCCCTTGGTTGGCAGCTGCCGGCAACAACGCAGCAAGTATCGGTAGAGCTGTCGTGGCTTCTGGATCAGCTCTGCCCCAGGTAGCGGGGCCATCCGCAAGACCCTCTGTTCTGGAAAACAAAAAGCGTTCCTTCTTAGGTATCAAGTCAGATCTCTACATGGTTCTGGCCTCTTGGACCCAGCCCTTTGAGAAGCAGGCCTAAGGCAGCACAGAAGCCAGGTCCCCTTCTTGGCCCACTCCCATGGAGCCCACACCCTGGGCTGGGTCTCAACCCTGCTGAAGTCTCAGCCCACGAACAGTCCTGCAAGAATCATAAGCAAGCGTGGAGGGAGATACACAGTCTCATCATTGGTGTCTTTTTTCTGGAGTCCAACTTCAGGTGGCGGGTAAGTAGGTGGCACTGAGCAGAGGAGGGAAGATAAGCAAGAAGACTCTGAGTGGCAATCGGAGCAACCAGCTCTGATGCTAGCCGGGCATGTCCTAGTGAAGACACCAGGGAAGAGAGTGGAGAAGCTACTCAAAGCACAGCCCTAGACCAGCAGCAATGGCATTACTCAGAAACTTGTCAGAAATACAGAGTCTGAGGCCAACCAGATTCCTTAGACCAATCTGCATGCTAACAAGATCCCAGCAGATTCATATGCACATTAAAGCTTGAAGGCTTTAATGATTCTAGAAGGCTCTGTATGAAGAAGCAGCTGCACACGGAGTGACCAGGTGAAGTCAGAGCCTGGGCATATGACATTACTTCACTGTGTGTTGAGTGCTGAGCACTTACCTGTTATATTCACTTACATGCAATTCATGCATACATTAAAAAACTAAGCACAGAAGTCTGGTAACTTGCCCAAGATCACAGCTGATAAAGGTAAAAACTGAGATTTCAACACTGGCAATCTAGCTCCAGAGCCCATGTTTTAAAAAAAAAAAAACAGCTTTACTGAAGTGTTGTTGACGAACAATCAAGCGCACACATTTAAAGGGTACCATTCCATAAGTTTGACCTCAATGCATTAGAGAGATATCATCACCACAATCAAGAGTGAACATACCCATTATCCCCAGTTGCCTCATGCCTCTTTGTCATCCCTGTCGTCCCCACTTTCGCATCCCCAAGCAAATACTGATCTGCTTTCTATCACTGCAGGTTTGTTTGCATTTTCTATAGTCTGTATAAGTGGAACGATACTCCGTGCTCTTTTGGGTCTGCAGAGCCCATATTCTTTTCTTTCTTTTTAATTTAAACTTGTTTTTTAATATATCTAACATAAAAATTTTACAAATGTATAGAGTACCAGTGATATTTCAAAATGTGTATACATTTTGTAATGTTTAAATTGGGTTAAACATGTCTCCCTCCTCACTTACCATTTCTTTATGGTGAAAATATTCAAAATCCTTTCTGCTATAAGACCTATATTTTTAATGTTTGTATTATACATGTCCTCTCCAAAGAACCCACAACCCTAGCTTGAACTTTGTCCTTTTTTTTTAAGGAAACTATAAGCATATAAATGTTTTTAAATGGTAGATTCTAGAATGTAAAGAGTAGTTAAACATTCATTAAGAGACTCCCAGCCCACAGCCATGTCCCTCCCTGTGCTCACTGACTGATTGGCTCAGGCCTGAACTTCTGCCATAGAACTCTGCCTGGTGCCCCTGCCTCCCACGTCACTCCAGTCTCCTCCACACTGCCACCAAAGGAGCTCTGGAACCAGTATCCTGGGTACATTCCATTCAGCCACAGGAACATCTCCCAGATCCCAAAGCATCACCTCTCAGTACCTTTGTAGACACAGTCTGCTGAGCTCTATGCTCCCTTTCTCATCTCCTCACTCAGCCTTCCAGATCCAGCTCTTTCCTCCAGGAAGTCCTTCATGGCACTGTTCCTTCCTGGGGATAGGGGAATCACTCCATGGTTTGTGGGGCTACAGGGCCCTGGTCATAGTGCTGATGCAGTACTTCCCACTGGGGAATTCATCTGTTGCCAGGCCAGTGGCTCCCTCTAGGTGACAGCCTGGCCCAGGTTCCAGTGCAGCCCCTCGCCCACAGCAGTCTTCACACACTGGTTGAGCTGAACTCCACGAGTCAACTATCTCCTTTGTACAGATTTTCCCTCTCTGAGAGACAGGCTCTCTGTGTTCCAGCTGAAGGAGCTAAACGACAGATTAAGTGAATGATACAAGTTTAAAGTAGTATAAAAAAGAGCAAGACAATCTTCTTATCCACACCCCAGCCAGAGAGAAACAAATACTAAATCTATCAAATGTCCTTACACTAAGGAAAGAAAGTTATTAAGAAGTTCCTTCAGGGCTGGGGATGTGGCTCAAGCGGTAGTGCGCTCGCCTGTGCAGCCCGGGTTCAATCCTCAGCACCACATGCAAACAAAGATGTTGTGTCCGCCAAAAACTAAAAAAAAAAAAAAAAAAGAAGAAGAAGTTCCTTCACAGCCTCAGCAATTTAGTGAGGCCCTAAACAACTTAGTAAGATCCTTAAAAAAAGGGCTGGGTATGTGGCTCAGTGGTTAAGCAACCCTAAGTTCAATCCTTGGTCTCTTCAGAACATCAGGGTTCAGAAGCTTCTTCATTCCCCTTCCAGCATGTTATCTCCCTGACAACAATACACATCTGTAATTCTTCCTGGTTCCCTCTTGCTCTGTCTCTGAAATGGACAGTGGTTGTCTTCCCACCATCCCCTGGAATAGCTTTGTGTGCAACTCAGGATACATCCTTCCACAAGTCTCAGCCCTCCAGACCAATCAGAGCTTTGCATCCATGTGAGCTCAGGGATTGGTTCACAGATTGGTTCACAGCTGGAAGCTGATCCAATCAAAAGTAAAGCTCACCATCTCTGAAAATGAGACTGAAAGGACTCCAGCTCTTCCCCACTAGTGTTGATCCTCTCAGGGAAGCCATCTTGCCTCCTACTGAACCCTGACACTGCAGCCTCACCACAGAAGGCAGAGCTGAGACCCTGAGAGAAATCAAGTCCAAAGAACTCATGTGAGCCCTAAAACCATCCACCTGAAGGCACCCCAGTCCTAGACTTCTCAATGATATGAGTCCTTTGCCAAAGCTGCTTGTGCTTGTTGTTTAGTCACTTGCAATCCAAAGAGTCCTAAATAAATGACAGATTCTGACCTCCCAAATTCTGTTTCCATGATGTACTCAGTTGGTTCTAGCTGTAAGGAAGAGTCTAAAAAGGATAAGGTTCCTCAAGTTCCTTCTACTATGAATCAACATCAGTCTGACTAGCCACAGGTAAGCCCAAAAAACAGAGGGGACCCCATACAGTGTTGGCCAAGAACTTCAAGGGCAACCATAGAGGACATACAAACAGAGTCCCAAACATGATGGGCAGATTCCCCTGGCAGGCTTCCCCAAACTATATAAAGTGCTAATCAAATATTGTAAAATGCTAGTCGTGTAACAGATGGTTACCATCTGTAGTCCTCAAAATTAACATTTGGAAAGAGCACAACTTTGTTTCGTTTCTTAAAATCCAAGCAATACTTAGTAACCAACCCAGCAAGTATGGGCGGTAGATTATTTTCAGCTCAATTATAATACTTAGTCATTCTCAGTAATAACTAGTAGAGAATACATGTGTGGGTCCACTTAGAAGAACTAAATTAAAAATGGTTTAATTTAATTTAAAGTGTAGGCTTGTTATTAGGGGGCAACGAACTTCACAGCATCATTGCTAAAACAAGAGTCAAACCCTATGACCCTGGAAATGCTTGCTTCTCTTCCCTGCCCTTTGGACTTGACCTTTGCTTCCCACCCAGGCTCCTTGCGTCTGTGATGGCATCTTCATTGCCCTGGCAACCAAACTAAAACCATCACAGAGTGAACTCACCTCCTCCTTCTCCCTCAATCTCCAATCCACTGGTTTCTAAGTCCTATCAAATTTTACCTCTATTTTTTCCTCAAATTTGTCTCCTCCTCTTGGTTTAGACTCCATGTATGTATGTATGTGTGTGTGTGTGTGTGTATGTGCACGCGCATATGTGTTGGTATTTCTGGGGATGGAACCAGAGCCTCACACGTACCAGCACTCTGCGACTGAGCTACGCTCCCAGACCTCCTTTTTTGACACATGATCTCATTAAGTTGCCCAGGTTGGCCCTGAACTTGCAATCCTCCTGCCTCAGCCTCCCACACCCGGCTTTGGTTCAGACTTAAATCTCAACTGTGATAGTCCTCAAGCTGGTTTCCCAGCCTTCCAATCCATTTCTTTCATATATTCTCCACCCAACAGCCAGAGTGACTCTTTCTGAAACATAAATCTCAGGGTATCTTATCCCAAGGAACTTTAACCCTTAATAGTCATTCCTATTCCTCATCATTCATGGCAACATTTTCCATAATGTAAGACAAACACCTGAAATTATTTTAAGCAGTATATGGATCACATTTTTTCATTGTAAAGATTTTTATATTTATTTCTATATGTGATGAGAAAAAGCCACAATATCATAGATATTAGGCTTAATAATAGTTTTTAAAGGAATGGGCATACAATTGATTTTTTAAAATGTAACAAGCAAATAATAATGTGACTGAATAAAAATGTGATTGAAATGTGGATATGTCAGAAATCATAAAAGTGGAACTGAAGTTTGGAAAGCACTGGTATACAGAATAAAATCCAGATTCCTTTCCATGGCCTGCAGGGTCCCTTTTGATCTGGGCCCTGCCCATCTCTCATCTGCACCTCAACACTTAGGCCTAATCCAAGCAAACTGAGCCTTAAATGGCACACTCTGTGACAGCGCACATTCTGTTTTCCTATTTTGGTATCAGCACTGTCACAGAATACCTGGCATAAAGTAGAAGTATTAAGAGCTCTCCAGAGAAACACAACCAATTGAAGGGTATATGCATTTGTGTGTGTGTGTGTGTGTGTGTGTGTGTACATGTGTGTGTGTGATTTGCTACAAGGAATTATAGAGACTAGCAAGTCTGAAATCTGCAGAGCTGACATCATAGTTCTAGCACAAAGCCTAAAAGTTGCCGTACAACCAGAAAGGACTAGTGTCTCCATACAAAGGCCACCAAGCAAAAGGATTTTTCTTATTTGGGGAAGATTCAGACTTTTCATTCTAGTCAGGACTTCAATAGACTGAACGAGGTCCACTCATATTAAAGGGGGCAAACTGTCTGATCAAATCTACCAATTTAAATCCATAAATGCTTTTGCAGATACACCTAGAATAATGTTCAAATACCTGGGTATCTCACAGCCCAGTCAAATTGACCCATATTATCCCTCCCCCCAAAATGTCCCATATCTGTTTGCTGAACACCCCCCCACCCCCCTGCCCCGGTGTCCTCCTATAATATACTCCTCTGTTTCCTGCAGCTCTCAGTCTTCACTACTCAGCTCTGGGTCTGGCACTTCCTCCTGGGAGCCCTCACTCGTCCAGCACCTTGAACCATGTTCAGTGGGATGACCTCAAAAAGCCCTCATCACCCCACAGCACTCTAGCCCAGGCTCCAGTTTGGGCTCTGGCTTGGATTACTGGAAGGAGATCCACCTGCCCTCCCCACCAGCCATCCTCCACACAGTGATCACCATGCTTAACTTCCCCACTGAAAATAGTCCCATAACTGGACATTAGAGGATGATGTGAATTATTATTAATCATTAATTTTCTTAGAAATAATAATGATGTTATGGTTATGTGTAGAATTCCCTTATTCTTAGGAGATGCAAGTGGGAATTATTTAGAGGTGATGTGTCATCAGATCTGCAACTTATTTTCAAATCGTTCAGCAAAAGCCAACACCAGGAGAGAAGAGACAGAGTGAGAAAGATAAGGAAATATGGAGGCAGGCACAGGGGTGTACACCACCATCCCAGGGGCTCAGGAGGTTGAGGCAGGAGTTTCACAAGTTCAAAATCAGCCTCAGCAATTTAGCAAGGCCCTAAGCAACCTGCAAGACCCTGTCTCTAAATTTCAAAAAAATACAAAACAGAGGCTGGGCTATACCTCAGTGGTAGAGCACTTGCCTGGCACATGTGGGGCACTGGGTTTGATCCTTATCACTACATAGAGATAAATAAATAAAAAAGATGTTATGTCCATCTACAACTAAAAATTAAAAACAAAACAAAACAAAGGCTGAGGATGTGAGTCACTGGTTAAGCGCCCCTGGGTTCAATCCCCAGTAAAAAAAAAAAAAAAAAAAAAAAAAAAAGTGGCAAAATGTCAAGATTTCATTTGGGTGCCATTATTTTAACTTCTATGTATTTTGAAAATGTTTGTAATAAAAAGTTATTTAAGAAACACCCTTGGCAGAGAGCCATCCAGTTTTCCTCCCTCAACATGCTCCCTGGTGGCAGGGAACTCACAGGCACCCCATTTTCCTCCACTCAGGCTGCTAGGAAATCCTTCTGGTTCTGAGCTAAAGCCTGCCACCACACAATTCTACTCATTGGTCTCAGCTCTGCCCTCTGGAACTAACATCTTCCCTCACCTACCCCAAATTCCAGTTTCTCACTACCCAAAGTCAGCTACTACAGCCCCCTTGTCATTGCTTTCTCCTCATAATCATTGGGAAAGGAATGTCATCTCCCATAGCTTCTGCATCCCACTTGCCTCCTCTAGACATATGTCCCCCATTACTGGCATCATTCTCAAACATACTGTCAGTGGGAAAGCAGTAGTTGATTGTGTTCTGACCAGTTCCATCCCTGATGGCACTGTCACCGCCTTTGATCTAGGAATTCCAGGAATGCAGCCTAATCTGAGGTGCATTCTCTGCTCAGGCTTTCACATGGCCCTGGCATTCACTTTAAAGCAACTTTCCCCCATGAACTATTATGAAATCAGTTTCCCCATCTTGTATTTTATTAGTTCAGTCCAGAGTCATAATCTACCACACAAGCTATTACCCACAGATAAGGTACAAGAAATCAGAAAGAGATTAACCCTACCTGTCATAAATGACATTTATCTATGCAACACCAGTCAGAGCAGCTAGTGTATGTATAGCTCTGGACTCAGCCCTGGCCATAGAAATGAACAGTCTGACATACCTGGCTGTCCTACCCAATGGCAGGTCTTATTACCATTCAGGGAGCGATTAGTACACAGCAAGTATGAGACCTTCCTTCTGATATCTCATTTAATCCTCACAACAATATTATTGTATACATACCATTAGCTTCATTTTTGAGATGAGGAAACTGAGGCTCTGAAGGGTTAAGTAATTTGATAGAGGCCACAAAACTAGCTAGCTCATGGTAAGGTAAGGCATTGAACCTAAGTCTATTTGATTCCAAAGCTCATGTCCTTACTTGCTTCATGATACCACCTGCTGTGTCTATGTCAGCCATCCATAAAAATGCTAACCAGGGCTGGGGATGTGGCTCAAGCGGTAGCGCGCTCGCCTGGCATGCGTGCGGCCTGGGTTTGATCCTCAGCACCACGTACAAACAAAGATGTTGTGTCTGCCGAGAACTAAAAAATAAATATTAAAAATTCTCTCTCTCTCTCTCCTCTCTCACTCTCTCTTTAAAAAAAAAAAAAAATGCTAACCAGATCAAGGTAGAGGACCCCACAAAGAACTCTTTCAGGACTCCTGAAGGACCAGGTTCATGCATTTATTAAAGCACTTGACTGGACTATTTATTATTCAGTACTTCTCAACCTCCTCCACAAAACCTTGTTCCACACTTTAAAGAAACACAAGGACATCACCTAGAGTGCCCCTGTCCCCACCTCTGCATATAGATGAAAAAAAGTCAGACTGATGTCAATTACACAGATAAAGAAAGGGGACCACAAGAAAATGCTAAGCATGAGCATGTATGCACACACACAAACAACTACAAAATCCAAAAGAGACTATGACAAGATAAAGGAAAAGGGGAGAGGAAGCCACAAAGGAAATTTCCTGAGAGCCAAGTGTTATCCCTGACACAGATGTTCAGAAACAGGCCTCCAGGCCCCCCACTGTTCTTTTCCCTAACCTGTGTCTGGACACAGGGCACCTAAAAGTAAGTGGGAAATATCATGCATTAAAAAAAGAATGGTACTGCAGAAAATAACCAGAAATTATGCCCTGTTGAGTACTGATAAAAACTAAATTTAAGCCTGCACAAGCCATTTTTAAATATGCAATTACTCTTCTTGATGGAGAAAGCTGAAAAATAGGAATGGCTTTGCTCCCTGTCCCTGTCCACTCCAGTGCTCCATTTCCCAAGCTACAAATGGGACAGCAATCTTGCTTCCTCCACTCCCTCTCCTGTGTAATCAAGTTCTCAACCAATGCAGCCCTTGCCCCTCACTCCCACTGGCACTAGTTTGGATTCCAAATTTGTACCTTTCTCTTGCTTGGACTCTCCAAATACCTCCTAATCAGACTCTCTCCATCCAGTCCAATCCCCACAGTGCCACCCAAGGACACTTGCTAAAAAATACACTGTCACTCCCTTTTCTTTAAAACCTCTGCAAGCAGTTCTTTAACCATGTCCTCCTATCTGGAGGTCTGGTGGGTGACAGTGACGAATTCAAGAGTCCTAGGGGCCACCACTTGATGAATGTATAGATAAATGTGGTGCTTTCATATAATGGAATATTATTCTGCAATAAAAGAAACCAAGGACTGACAGATTACATAACATGGGTGAAACCTGAGAGCATTCTGCTAGGTGAAAGAGGCCAGCCATAAGGGGCCACATAATGTATGATACCATTGATATGAAATGATCAGAATAAGCAAATCTATATAGACAGAAAGAGTAGTAGTGGTTAATCAGAGCTGGGAGGAACAGGAAGAGATAGGGGGTGGGATGGCTGAAGGGGGTGATTTTGGGGGGGATAATGGAAATTCCTAAAATTGATTATGGTGATAGATGTACGTTTCTGCTCATTCTAAGATACAATAAATGAATGCACTTTAAATGGGCGAAGCATATGCGATATAATTTGTATCTCAAAAAAAAAGCTTTTTTTTTTTTTTTTAAACAACAGTAACAACAAAAAAGATTAATCCTAAAAGCTAAGGATTTTCGGCCACGGAGTGACTTGCTCTGTAATGCAGAAATACTCAATCAAACCGCTAAGGTTGCTCTAGGTAATGGGGTGCTCCTGCAGATGGAGTGGGTGGTAGGGATTCCTCTTAAAAACGAGCAAACAGGCTGACCCCGAGGTTGGGCCGGGAGATCAGCATTTCAGCCATGGGCCAGGGTCCGGCTTTGCAGAGGCCTGGACACCCCCGGCTCCCCCTGACCCCCACACGCCCTCCCTCGCGCCACCGGCCTCCCCAGCTCCTCCGAGGCCGCCCGGGGTAAGGCCTGCGACTCAGCGGGTCCGGCTATCCCGGTGAACGAGGGCGCCCCAGCAGGGAAGGAGCGGCGCGAGTCGCCCCTAGGCTTCCCTCTGGTCCGAGGACGCCGGCGGCTTCCACTTCCCCAGCCCGCCCCCGCCGCCCCAGGTGGCTCAGGTCGCCGCTGCCCCCGCGACCCCGCCCTCGGCCTGCGCGGCGCGGCTCACCCGCCTCCACTGGGGGACGCCAGCCCCGGACGCCGCAGTAGCGGCGGTGACGAGTGCGCCTGCGCCGCGGGAGCCAGCGCAGCACCACCCCCACCGGGTGACTGCGCGTCGAGCGCCCTCTTCCGGCTGCGCGCGGGACTCGGGGCCCTACTGGGTGCCGGTTCCCTGAAGCGACCCCACCCAGTTAAAGGAAGACCGCTGGCCCCACCAACAGCCCTCTTTACCTGTTCCTTCTGGCTCTTGCCTCCCAGGTTATAAACCTTGAAGACAAGCTCTCGTTCACCTTCATGAGTATGGATCGTGCTATAAAATACTTGGGATCTGAGAAAAGGCTTGCTGGAAGATTCTTCCTAAACCTCTTGGTGGATGATGACAGGAATTATGTTGGGATGGGAATCTGCGTTCATCAAATTCAGCCCCATAACACCTGTCAAAAGAATAAATATGACAGTAATAGGCATGCTTCCTTTCAGACCCATCTATAATTATAATTGAGGCAAAGAATGAAGAATTTAAACTCAGAGCTCCTGCCAGTATCATTCTTTGAAAATGAAATAATGTTGTTTCATTAAATAGGCTCTCCCCGTTCGCTAGTGTTTAAAGCCAAAGTGCTTCTCTGAATTGATTTAAATACAAGTTTTATATCCTGAAAGAAATAAAGATGTGTCTTTATCGTGAGACAAACGCTCTGTTCAATGATGCTGCTGAGCATCTCTGGGCTGTCTGAAAGGGAGTTAGATTGTCGGTGGATAATATTGCTTCTGTTCACGTCTCTCTTCTCTAGGGCTTTTTAAACCTATTTGTAATGAAAAGGCTGATTTTCTTACACAGACTCCATGTGTAGTTGCTTTAACAGAGCAATTTCTTATAATGTTGTCTTTTTTCTTTCCTCATCTTTTTTTTTTTTCATTTTAAGGAAAATTTTGCTCACTGGTAGCACCTGGGAATCTATTTTTCTCCTCTTAGAATAAGAGAAGCAGGAGATGTTTCTTAACAGAACTGTTTTCTTAGACTTCCTCCCCTTTCCCCCCTTAAGTCTCTTTAGAATTTTCCTTTATTTATTTATTTTTATTTATTTATTTTTTTGGTTTCTCTCTTCACCCAACATACTAGACAGCTTCCAAATCAGTGGGGGGCTCCTCCCCTGAAATATTCAGATAATTGCCTCCATTTATTTATATATTACCAAATATATCTGAAAGATCCAATTGTGCCCTCATAAATCAGCCCTCTTATTTACACATGCATAATCAGGGGCACATCATTAGTGCATATCCAATCAATAAATCATTACGCTTTTAAGCCCCTTATTAGGAACAATCTGCAGTAACATCCTCAACTCCTGTGTTCAGCCTTAGGATCACTTAATATTTTTAACAAATTTCACAATCTGTTCCCTGGTCCCATCTCCCTTTTGTTCCTAGATCGCTTCGTTCCTGCCTCAGAAACATCCTTCTAATACCTAGATCTCATAAAATATTCAAGATGCAAGCTGTTCTCTTTACCTCTGAAAGGCTCCACCTTCAGAATCACTTGTGCTTCTTCTATCCTTATAAACACACGAGATTTTATTTTTCACCAAAAAAGATATAAACATCCAAACAACAAGAAAAATAAAATAACCTAAAGTAGGACAGATGTGGCCAATAATCTCCAATATTATTTTCCAAGTCACAACAGAAACTTACATTTAAAAATAATTGAACTGTGATACTTTTAACTTGACAGAAACCTTAGGTTTATACAGCTTTGGGAATTAAACTAAAGAATTCTTAATAGTTCAAACAGTCACTAAAATGACATGAGTCCCATAATCTAATGAAAACCCAATCATTCTTACCATGTCATTTTCCTTTACACTGAAATTTCAGCAGATGAACACCCTTGTGTCAGAGGGTGCATGGTATTTACAGATAAACAGAATTTGAATGATTTTTTGCTTAAGAAATTTGTTACCCAAGAGTTGGCTGTCCTGGACACATGTTCTCACAGGGGAATTTATCGAATTCCCTAAGAAATACATTGCCACATTCTCTTGATTTCTGACATTGTGTCATTTAACCTGACAACTGCAGATTTGTAACCAATATTTGTAGGGAAAGATATAAGAAGTCCTGATGCTTCCAGTTTAAACCTGTTTTAAGATTTCAAAGAGAAATGATACATTTGCATGCTCTGATTAAATCAGATTATTGTCTCAAAGGTTGACCATGTAAATAATTCAAATTAATTCATCAGTATACAATAGATTTAATAAGCATAATAAACACTTTGAAGAAAATACTTGGGACCTCCGATCTGCCCTTACTCTCACTCCCCATTATCTCAAATTTCCCTGAGAACAGAATGAGTGGTACCACGTAGTTCTCTTCTATTCAAAATATGCAAAGTTGCTATTTACCAGTTCGAAATTTGCATGTCTCAAATCCTGCCAGAACACAGGGTGAGAAGCATGGGGTGATTGTGCCAAAAGAGGGCACGGGCGAAAATGGAAACCCAATGAACACATCTTCACCACCCCAGGGTGCTGCAAAACATAACCCTAGCTGACTGCTCAAGATTTGTTTGTAAGACAATGAAAATATTGGGTGTAAAAGGTTATGCGAAATCTCAGACATCTAGTGTCTTTTCTTCTTTAATTGCTGGGTGGAAGAAGAGGATGAGCAAGGATTTCAAGATTTTTATAAAAAAGGAGTACAAGAGGAAAAAGGGTACAATTGTGACTATTTACAACATACACTTGGAGAGTAATTTATAGGCTGGAGTTTTAGCCTTTAGTCTTCTGTCTTGTGTTACTTTCTGCAGCACCATCAATCTAACCTTGCTGACTGGTATATGTCATTCTCTATTTCTGATGTGTTCTGTAGTAATTTATTGACAGTGGCCACACTTGAGATCACACTGGTGATCAGGTGCATGTTGTCTCTGAATGTGAGTCTCCACTTTTTCATCTCTGAAAATATGTTCAATGTCTCAAGATTTCAGATTGTAAATAACATGCATGTCCATACATACATTTTTTGGTATAAATCACCTTTGGGATGAATTTTTTTTTCCCCTCAGAAGAGTATGTGCATTCTGGACGTTTGTATTGCAGTATTACTCAAAGAATGAACGTGCTTGGGAACACCATTCTTTTTTTGCGTTTTGATGGCGGGTGACTAAAGATCCACTTTAAAATTACCTTGCTCATAATGTGGACTCTGTTTCCACTGGTGACCTCTGTAGAGTCCTAAGATGGCCACAGATAAGAATGAAATGCCACAGTTACTAGAAGACTGTAGGAAATAATCTGTTTTGCTAAATGGGGTTATTTGGCAGAGGTTGGGAGACGGAGGGGTGGACAGGGGATGGAAGAGAAGGAAGATAGAGAAAAAAAAGGAAGGGAGGAGAGAATGAGAAAAAAAAAACAACAGAAAACAAAAAAGAGAGTTATTCTGTTGATTTTGTCCCAAGACAAAGGGCTGATAAAGTTGACTAGCTGAGAAAAAAAAAAAAAAAAGGCAACATTAATGAAGGAAAACCATTATTTGGCTTGACCAGGAAATAGGGTGTTCTGGTCCATCAAATATGTAATTAATAGTTACCTTCCACTTTAGCAAACATTTACTGATACTCCTGATACTCCTCCATGAGCAAAACTCGGTTCAAGGGCCTGGGTCATGACCAAGGCCTTGGCACACCATCCCTCCCCTTCACCCTTTCCTGTCTTCCTCTGTTTTCTGTTGAAGGCAGTTCTAATCTTGTCATTGTCCTGCAGTAAACCCCTTAATGGCTTCCCAGTGTTCTCTGAATACTTATGTCAACTTTTTTTTTTTTTTAAAGAGAGAGTGAGAGAGGAGAGAGAGAGAGAATTTTTAATATTTATTTTTTAGTTCTCGGCGGACACAACATCTTTGTTGGTATGTGGTGCTGAGGATCGAACCTGGGCAGCACGCATGCCAGGCGAGCGCGCTACCGCTTGAGCCACATCCCCAGCCCCTTATGTCAACTTCTTACCACATCCTACAAGACCCTGCCGGGTCTGTTCTCTTAAGCTTCCCCTTCATATCCCCGCAGACTACAATGTTGTTTTGCTTTTTGCAGTGCTAAGGATTGGACCCAAGGGTGCTCTAGCACCAAGCTACATCCCCAATCCTTTTTTATTTTATATTGAGACAGGGTCTTGCTAAATGGCCTCATTTTTGTGATCCTCCTGCTTCAGCCTTCCAAGTTGTCAGGATTACAGGCCTGTGCCACTGCGCTCAACTCACAGTGATCTTTCAGATCCTCAAATATACCATGTTCCTTCCATCCTGCTCCTCCTTTCAATCCCAACTCACAGATCTCCTCCTCAATTTCTTGGACACCCCCACTCCTGCCCCACACTGGGACAGAGACCCAAAGTCGTAGCCCATACCTTTCTCCATGGCATGCATCACAACTTATAATTATATATACCTGAATTTGGATTTCCCCAGAAGAAGACTCTGAAGCAAGGATCTGAGAGCAAGTAATTCATTTAGAAGATGGTCCTAGAAAACACTCAGGAAGGGAGTGGAGAAGTACAGCAGGGAAGGGAAGAGGGCTCTGCCTAGCATATGTGAGGCTCTGGGTTCGATTCTCAGCACCACATATAAATAAATGCATAAAATAAAGTCCATCAACAACTAAAAAAACAAAAATATTAAAAAAAGAGGGGGTTAAAAAAAAAAAGAAAGAAATCCCTGCCAAGCGAGTTACCACCATGGGCAGCTGAGCTTCATCTTGCTGGGGAGGCAGTGTGGAACACTTATCTCAGTGATCCTTCCCCTCCTCTGTGGGTATTTATACTCCAATTCCTGTCAGTTACTGGCTGAACAATGCTCTCCTGCTAACTCCCTGGTACTTCTAGCCTGCTCTGCTCCCAGGCAGAGATGCAGATGCCGGGCAGCTGGAAATCAGCCAGATATTGCACAATGGTATGGCTCAAGGGATCATGGATTGGCCACCGACAGTTCTGCTAGTTACATAAACAAATACATTTACATATAACTACATTTACACATAATATGTACAAATGTGCATGTACATGAACATGGTATGCATTTGCGTGATT